GTCTCCTAAGTAGCTGGGATTGCAGGCATGTACCACCATGCCTGGCTAATTTTTGTATTTTTTAGTAGAGATGAGGTTTCGCCATGTTGGTCAGGCTGGTCTTGAACTCCTGACCTCAGGTGATCCACCTGCTTTGGCCTCCCAAAGTGCTGGGTTTACAGGCATGAGCCACTGCACCCAGCCAGCAAGACCCTGTTTCTACAAAATATAAGATATCAGCCGGGTGTGGTAGCATGCACCTGTAGTCCCAGCTACTTGGGAGGCTGAGGTGGGAGGATCACTTGAACCCAAAGGCGAAAAAAAAAAAAAAAAGAAGAAAAGGAAAACAAAAAACTATGTTTTATTGCTCAGGGACAAAGTTTCTGACTTTGATAAGGTCAAGATCAGCTGGGCGCGGTGGCTCATGCCTGTAATCTCAGCACATTGGGAGGCCGAGGCAGGCAGATCACTTGAGGTCAGGAGTTTGAGACCAGCGTAACCAACATAGTAAAACCCCATCTCTACTAAAAATACAAAAATTCGCTGGGAGTGGTGGCGTGCGCCTGTAATCCCAGCTACTTGGGAGGCTGAGGCAGGAGAATTGCTTGAACCGGGGAGGCGGAGGTTGCAGTGAGCCGAGATCGTGCCACTGCACTCCAGCCTGGGAGACAGAGTGAGACTCAAAAAGACAGAGTGAGTCTCAAAAAAAAAAAAAAAGAAGAAGAAGAAAAAGAAAAAAGTAAGCTCAAGGTCTGGAGTCAAAGCCTCTACCTCTCCCAGATACCACCTCCCACTGTATTTATTTATCACCTTGGTTAAAATCCAGGGAAAGGAAGAATCAGCAACTTGTTCCACTCGGGGCAGAGCTTGGCAGGAACTCTCGGAGCTGCTGTTACTACCTTTTCCATGGCAAGGCAATTCATAAATGTCTAAATTTCCACGGTACATCTTGGAGGCTGCCTGAGGGAGATAGAGCCAGCGACCCTTAAGCCTACAGACAAAAATTAGTTGTCTTTTTTTTTTTTTTTGAGATGGGGTCTTGCTCTGTCACCCGGGGTAGAGGGCAGTGGCATGATCTCGGCTCACTGCAACCTCTGCCTCCTGGGTTCAAGTGATCCTCCCACCTCAGCCTCCTGGGTAGCTGGAATTACAGGTGTGTGCCACAATGCCAGGTTAATTTTTATATTTTTATTTTTTGAGACGGAGTCTTGCTCTGTTGCCCAGGCTGGTGTGCGGGGACACAGTCTTGGCTCACTGCAACCTCTGCCTCTCAGGTTCAAGTGAGTCTCCTGCTTCAGCCTCCTGAGTAGCTGAAATTACAGGCGCCCACCACCACACACGACTAATTGTTGCATTTTTGCTAGAGACGGGTTTTCACTTTATCAGCCAGGCTGGTCTCAAGCTCTCCTGACCTCAGGTGATCCGCCCACCTTGGCCTCCCAAAGTGCTGGGATTACAGGAGTGAGCCACTGTGCCCTGCCAGAATTTTACGTCTTTAAATATTGAAAAAAATTTAAAAGAATAATTGTTTATGAAATGAAAATTATATGATATTCAAATGTCAGCGTCCATAAATAAAGTTTTTTGGAACACAGCTATACTTGTTCATTTACATATTGTCTATGGTTGCTTCTGCACTTAAACAATAGCAGAATTGAGCGGCTGCAACATTGGCCATGTGGCCCAAGAGGCCTAAGTCATTATATCTGGCCTTTTTAAATTTGAGATGGAGTCTCACTCTGTCGCCAGGCTGGAGTGCAGTGGTGTGATGTTGGCTCACTGCAACCTCTGCCTCCCGGGTTCAAGCGATTCTCCTGCCTCAGTCTGCTAAGTAGCTGGGATTACAGGTGCATGCCACAAGGCCCGGCTAATTTTTTGTAATTTTAGTAGAGATGGGGTTTCACCATGTTGGCCAGGATGGTCTCGATCTCTTGACCTCGTGATCCACCTGCCTTGGCCTCCCAAAGTACTGGGATTACAGGCGTGAGACACTGCGCCTGGCCTATCTGGCCCTTTACAGAAAAAAGTTTGCCATCTCTTGTTCTAGATAAAAGTAGCCACCTGAGCAAGGATCGGGGAGGGTCTCACCATTCAGGAGGTAAATATCTATTTAATCCTCTTGTTTTCTCTGTAGCATCCACATCCTTAACTGTGTCCGGTATTCCTCAGGTCAGTGGGGTCTGATTGCTGGCCTGAGGGGTGTGGGATCTCAGACCCACCGTGGATGGGCAGCCCTAGCCTTCCTCCTCCCACATCCAGTGGTTAAGTCCTTACTTCTGTTGGTACAGAGTGGTGGCTGGGCTTGGACTTTTCAGGAAGGAGACGGAAGGGTGTTCCTCTGGAGAAACTGACCCAGGGGTAAGAGCTACAGATACTGACTGGGTGTGGTGACTCATGCCTGAAATCACAGGACTCTGGGAGGCCAAGGCGGGTGGATCACCTGAGGTCAGGAGTTTGAGACCAGCCTGGCCAACATGGTGAAACCCTGTCTCTAATAAAAATACAAAAATCAGCCGGGTGTGGTGGCAGGCGCCTGTAATCCCAGCTCCTCGGGAGGCTGAAGCAGGAGAATGGCTTGAATCTGGGAGGCAAAGATTGCAGTGAGCTGAGATCGCAACACTGCACTCCAGCCTGGGTGACAGAGCAAGACTCCGTCTCAAAAAAAAAAAAAACAAAAAAAAAAGTCACTTTATACCACATTTTGCTCTTGTTAATCAGATTCTGCAAATGGCAAGTGACTGAACCCTGGGATTCAGTTACAACACAAGCAACACAGACATGTGAATGGACAGAGAAGATGTTTGAGGAAAGCTCCGACTTTTTTTTTTTTTTTTTTTTTCAAGACCGAGTCTTCCTCTGTTGCCCAGGCTGGAGTGCAGTGGTGTGGTCACAGTTCACTGCAGCCTCAAACTCCTGGGCTCAAGCAAACCTCCCATCTCAGCCTCCTGAGTAGCTGGGACTACAGGCATGTACCACTATGCCCAGCAAATTGTTGTATATTTTCTTGGTAGGGACGAAGTTTTGCCATGTTGCCCAGGCTGGTCTGGAACTCTTGGGCTCAAGCCATGGTCTACCCTGGTCTACCAAAGTGTTAGGACTACAGGTGTGAGCCACAACACCTGGCCAGTGCTAACATCTTTAATGAGGATTGTTACTGCTTTTTCTTGAAGTTTCGATTGCAAATATATATAATTTTGAGTAGTTTGCCCAACTCTATTAGCTTTGGTCTTGTTTTGAGTGCCAGGCAGGGGCTTTCAAACAGAAAAATACAGTTCATAAAGAACAGAGGTTTAATAATTGCTCAGAGGAAAAAAGACCTAACTGGTCCCCTCTCCACAAAGATAAATCTGAAGACACAAAAGAAAGGGAGAGCTGGGCATGGTGGCTCACACCTGTAATCCCAGCACTTTGGGAGGCCAAGGCTTGAGCCCAGGAGGTCGAGGCTGCAGTCAGCCGAGACTATCACGCCACTGCACTACAGCCTGGGCAAAACAGCCAGACTCTGTGTCAAAAAAAAAAAAAAAAAAAAAAAGTGATTTGCAAAGTATAATTATTTTTTAAAATATATATTGTCATGCTTGCTTTCACTCAGATAAAAATGCTACAAGATATTTTATGGGTATAATAAGAGAGAGTATGAAGCCCCATTGAAATTTTGTGAGAATTGAATAGGTTACTATCATTTCTGCATTCATCTTTTTAACACTTTCTGGAATTTACTCCTTCTCTTCCTCTTTCCACATTGCTTACTGTACAGAGAAGGAGGCTCCATAATGGGAAGGGATACTATCATATTTTAAATGATTATTAATAGTAAAAACAATGATAAACCTCCGAAGTATTAGTACTACCTGCCATACACACTGTGGTGGGTGCTTTACACAAATTAACCTCATCCATTCCTCTCTATTACAGATAACATTGCTATCCCCCTAGAAACAAGGGATTTGAAAGTCAGAAAGGTTAAATAAATTGGTCAGTAAGTGGCAGTCAGTTCTGCTATACTATTTCTAGAAAACAAACCCAGAGGTTTTAACCTTTATTTTTAATTATTTATTTATTTTTTGAGACGGAGTCTGGCTCAGTCGCCCAGGCTGGAGTGCAGTGGCTCGATCCTGGCTCGCTGCAAACTCCACCTCCCAGGTTCACGCCTTTCTCCTGCCTCAACCTTCTGAGTAGTTGGGACTACAGGCGCCCACCACACCCGGCTAAATTTTTGTATTTTTTAGTAGAGGAGGGGTTTCACCGTGTTAGCCAGGATGATCCGGATCGCCTGACCTCGTGATCCGCCCGCCTCGGCCTTAACCTTTATTTTTTAAGGGGCTTGGCTATTTTTAGCAGAAGGAATCTGTGGTCACACAGATCTTAATCACCACTCCCTGGCAGAGAAGAAACATTTATCAGGATGAGGCCAGGCACGATGACTCACGCCTGTAATCCCAGCAATTTGGGAGGCCGAGGTGGGAGGATCACTGAGGTCAGGAGTTCGAGATCAGCCTGGCCAAAATGGCGAAACCCTGTCTCTACTAAAAATACAAAAATTGGCTGGGTATGGTGGCAGGCGCCTGTAATTTCAGCTACTCGGGAGGCTGAGGCAGGAGAATCGCTTGAACCCGGGAGGCAGAGGTTGCAATGAGCCGAGATCCTGCCACTGCACTCCAGCCTGGGCAACAGAGCGACACCGTCCCCACTCCCCAAAAACAAAAAACAACCATTTATCTGGATGGTGTCGAAATATTTACCACTTCCCCTGCACTTCTGACTTTTCGAATTTTGTGCTTTTGCCTGGGCTCCATCTAGAATGTTCTTGGATGGTGGAGCATGTCGTCCACCTACTCAATTCCTACCTCTCCTTTGAATACACACCATTTGGTGGAAGTCTTCCCTGATCCCTGCCGACAAGCTTTTCAACTGCATCTCTCTCTTAAGCTATCTCAGAGTAAACTGAGAACCCAAGTCAGTACTGGCACCCTTGCTGGAGTGTGCCATTCTGGGAAAGGCAAAATTTCTTGTCCGAATCTTCATTTGCCCTCTACTGGGGGTAAGTGCACATTGGAGAATAATGAAAACTTCAAGTCAAGAGATGCAGAGTGCGTTTTCCAGTTCAACAACCTGGATTTTCTACCAGGCCATTTTCGAAAGGAGCTGCCACGGCCAGCGGCATGGATTTTGATGAGAGCGGGGTCGGCCTGAAATCTGCAGCCTGCATGCTCCAACGACGCCTGAAAAGAGGGGTCTAACCATGGGCCGCTCCCAGCCCCCGCCCTTTTAGTCTTCCCAGCTGGCTCGGGGAGCAAAGTGGGGCTGTAGAGAGGCGGCGCCCAGGGCGCAACAGCCCGAGACCGGCGCTGAGTGCCTAGGGACAGAGGCCTCGTGCTGGAAACGCCAAGTGACCACACACCCAGCCGCTGGCAAGAACAAACAGCACTGACAGCCGCAGACCGCCGTCCCAGCGGCCCACAAAGGCCGGAAGTGCGGCTGGCGTTTGCGGCCAAGGCGCCTTCTCTAGGACTTCGGAGGTCCAGCATCTCGGTGGTTCCCTTTACTGGAAGACCCCCGACTCCCACGGCGTGTACCCTACGACAGGGGCCTCAAAATGAAGCAAAAGGGAGAAAAGCCTGGGCGCGGTGACTCATGCCTGTAATCCCAGTCCTTTGGGAGGCCGAGGTGGGAGGATTGCTTGAGGCCAGGAGTTTGAGACCAGCCTGGGCAACATAGCGAGACCTGGTCTCTACCAAGAATTAATAAAATGAGCCGGGTGTCGTGGGGGCGCACCTGTAGTCTCAGCTACTCGGGAGGCTTAAGTGGAAGGATCACTTGACCTCTGGAGTCAGAGGCTGCAGTGAGCTGTGCTTGCATCATTGCACTCCAGCCTGAGAAACACAGTCTCAAAAAGGAAACACGTCTCAAAAAGGAAAAAAAAGGAAAGGAGGGAGGGAAGGAGAGAGGGAGGAAGGACGGAGGGAGGGCGGGAGAGAGGGAAGGAAGAAAGGAAGAAAAGGAAGGAAGGAAAGAAGGAAGGAAGAGAGGAAGGAAGAGAGGAAGGAAGGAAGGAAGAGAGGAAGGAAGGAAGGTAGAGAGGAAGGAAGGAAGGGAGGAAGGAAGGAAGAAAGGAAGGAAGCGAATTCAGCGGCTCACATGGGGAAGAGGAAATCCATTTACCATGCATCCAGGCCTGAGTTTCAGCTGAGGGGTTGGAGCATGGCTGATTATCATGCTGGCTTCCCCTAGAGACCAAGGAAACTTGAGTCCTGGAGCAAGTTCTTGCTTGCTCAGGGTCTCACCGTGACCTGGCTCAGAAGCCAGAATTTGTGGGGCCGTGGTTTGTGACCTTTGCACTGTCTGGACTGCCTCTCATCAGACATAAACACTGATAAAATTTGTTATGCTTTCAAAATGGTAGGAAACACGTGACAGATCAAAGCAGACAAAATAGAGTGTGCAAGACTTCCGAGAAGACGCCTCACACTTGTTGGGATGGCTACAGTTTAAATATCCCTTATCTGATATGCTTGGGACCGGAAATGTTTCAGATTTCAGATATATATATTTTTTTCTTTGGAATATTTGCTTTACTGGTTGAGCAGCCCTAATCCCAAAATCCTAAGTCTGAAATGCTCCAATGAGCATTTTCTCTCAGCGCTATGATGGCCCTCAAGTTCTGATTTTGTAACTTTCGGAGTTCAGCTATTTGGATTGGGGTACTCTCCCTGCACTACAAACAAACAAACAAACAAACAAACCCCACCACCACCAACAAAACAAACCAAAATAGCAGGTGTTTGGTGAGGATGTGGACAAATTGGAATCTTTGTGCACTGCTGGTGAGAACATAACATGGTGCACCCCGCCTCTTCTGTGGAAAACAGTACAGTGCTTCTTCAATAAAATTAACAATACAATCAGCCGGTGCAATGGCTCCTGTCTGTAATCCCAGCACTTTGGGAGGCGAAGGCAGGCAGATCATTTGAGATCAGGAGTTCCAGAGCAGCCTGACCAACATGGCAAAACCCTGTCTCTACTAAAAATACAAAAAAATCAGATGGGCGTGGTGGCTCATGCCTGTAATCCCAGCTACTCAGGAGGCTGAGGCAGGACAATTGCCTGAACCTGTGGGGGGAGGTTGCAGTGAGCCAAGATGGTGCCACTGCACTCCAGCCTAGGTGACAGAGCTAGACTCTCCCCCACAAAATAAAATAAAATAAAATAAAATAAAAATAAAAACCTGAAGGCTAAAGAGAGAAATTGGATCAGCTGAAGAGTTTACAGATTTGCAGAGAATAGAGGCAAGGAAGCTTTGTGAACTACTTTTAGGTTGTGAAACTTGGTCTTGATTCAACCCCCACATGGTCTTCATACACGAAGCTTCTTTGCAGAGGAAGCTCTTTGGAGAAAGATAACTGGTGAGATAGAAAGTACAGCCAAGAGATGACAAGGAGACTTCTCTAGAGAATTTTGTGGATTAAGAGGAAAAACAAATTCATAAGTTCATGGAGATAATGAGTTATTTGAAATCAGAAAGAGTGATTAACATGGAGGCTGGGTGTGGTGGCTCATGCCTGTAATTCCAGCACTTTGGGAGGCTGAGGCAGGCGGATTGCCTGAGGTCAGAAGTTCGAGACCAGTCTGGCCAACATGGTGAAACCCCATCTCTACTAAAAAAAAAAAAAAAAAAAGCCGGGCATGGTGGTGTGCGCCTGTAATCCCAGCTACTCGGGAGGCTGAGACGGGAATTGCTTGAACCAGGGAGGTGGAGGTTGCAGTGAGCCGAGATTGCACTACTACACTCCAGCCTAGGCAACAGGGCGAGACTCCATCTCAAAAACAAAAACAAAAACAAAACAAAAAAAACAAAAAAACCGAACCAAAACAAACACATAAACAAACAAAAAACATAGGGCGACTCTCTACAAGTGTTTTACTGCTAGAAGATCATGCACCTCATTTCTCAAAGACTCACAGAGAACAGAAGACTGGTTGCATGAGAAGTGAATAACAAGAGGCTATAGTGCTTATTTGGGGTGGGGGCGAACATGACATTTCAATGTTAACTTGTTTTTTTTAATTTAATTTTCTTGGTTATACATCATTGCTGGTATACGTACTTTATTTTATTTTTAGAGATGGAGTCTCTCTATGTCTCTCTCTGGTCTCGAACTCCTGGCATCAAGCCATCCACCCATCTTGGCCTCCCAAAGTGTTGGGATTACAGGTGTGAGCCACTGTGCCCAGCCTAACTTATTTTTTTTCTTTGGTCCAGCAAGGGCTTGTGAGTGTGTCTGGGAACAACGTAAAATCTGGCTCGAAAAAAACCCACTCAACTCAAAGCCCCAAAACAGAGCTGAGATGCTTTTGAGGGAGGCAGCCTCATTGGTCTCCTTGTTGGAGAGGCCCCAACTTATCAGTAAATATTGGTTAACATCTCTCATCCGGTAGGACTAAACATAGAACCAGTTGCCCTTGCACAGAAGGCCATGTATTGTATTATTCAACCTCACTGGAATGACCAGAAAAGGCAAAACCATAGAGAGAAAAAGTCGATTAAGGCCAGGCGCTGTGTCTCACCCCTGTAATCCCAGCACTTTGGGAGGCCAAAGTGGGCGGATCACCTGAGGTCACCAGCCTGGCCAACATGTTGAAACCCCGTCTCTACTAAAAATACAGAAATTAGCCTGGCATAGTGGTGCGCGCCTGTAATCCCAGCTACTTGGGAGACTGAGGCAGGAGAATCGCTTGAACCCAGGAGGCGGGAGGCGGGGGTTACACTGAGCCGAGATGGCACCACTGCACTCCAGCCTGGGCGACAGAGCAAGAAAAATAAATAAATAAATAAAAAATTGCTAAGATTGTTATTAAATCCGGGGGAGAGCCTTTCATCATGTTAGCAGGATCATAGTGTCCTCTGGTGGCAATAACATGCAACTGCAACTGAGTTGCCTGTGCAGAAAAATCTTTCCTGAATCCTGAAAGCCGCTTTCTGTTCTATTAGCTTAAGAAGGAAATCTGACACTGATCCGTACAGTGTGTTTTAGGATCCTGCCCATAAAGATTAAATGATCAAGGATCTAGAGAAGCCCAGTGCTCCCAGAGCAAGTGCCTGAGCCTAGGAGGCTTCTGACTGGAGTCTCTGTCACCCAGGTTGGAGTGCAGTGGTGCGATCTTGGCTCACTGCAAGCTCTGCCTCCCGGGTTCAAGCGATTCTCCTGTCTCAGCTTCCTAAGGGGTTGGGATTATAGGCGCTGTGCACCATGCCTGTACTTTTTTGTATTTTTAGTAGAGACGGAGTTTCACCATGGTGGCCAGACCGGTCTCAAACACCTGACCTCAGGTGATCTGCCTGCCTCGACCTCCCAAAGTGCTGGGATTACAGCGTGAGCAACCGCGCCTGGCCGAACAACAGGATTTTAAGCCTGAACTCAGAGGCAGTGCAGACTGGGGATCTGCACTGGGAAGTCATCTGTAAGGACGTGGTGGCTGGAGCTACAGATAGAGGGAAAGTTATCCAGGGAGAGTGAGGGTGTGGGACGGGGAGAGAGAGGGACCGCAACACAGTCCTAAGGAACACCAGCATTTTTTTTTTTTTTGAGACAGAGTCACCGAGGCTGGAGTGCAGTGGCACCATCTTGGCTCTTTGCAACCTGCACCTCCCAGGTTCAAGCAATTCTCCTGCCTCAGTCTCTCAGGTAGCTGGGATTACGGATGCCCACCACCATGCCCAGCTAGTTTTTGTAGTTTTAGTAGACACGGGGTTTCACCATGTTGGCCAGGCTGGTCTTGAACTCCTGATCTCAAGCGATCCACCCGCCTAGGCTTCCCGAAATGCTGGGATTACAGGTGTGAGTCACTGTGTCTGGCCCAGTTAGTGCTTTCTGAGAGAGCAATTTCTCCAAAGTTTTCAATTGACATAATCAACATAACTGTCCTGTGTATTAGGGGATGGCAGGTCCTTCACCCCTTCAGCTCCTTTGGTTAACTGGTACCTTGACTTGGCCATATCCACAGGTCAGGGAGGTCAGGAGATGTCACCCCTAGTCACTGGGGCTGTGGGGCACATGGTCTCTGAAATGGAACAAGGCTGACCAGACCGATGGATGGCTCACAGTGTCTGCTGGAGGTTCCTTTTGCTGCTCAGGGCCAGGGCATGGCTGGAGGAAGAGGCCCCACCCAGGAAGTTCTGCAGGGGCTTACACAGTCTTCCCAGACCCAGAAGCACAATCTCCAAAAGAGTGAACAAGAGACGGAACCCACTGACTCTAAAAATGGCTTTTAGAAAGATGATCTTCTCCGAGGGGCGGGAAAAGGTGCAGGTTAATCTATACGGGCAAGGCTCTTGGCCACATGCAAAGGAACCGGGCATCTGGAACCCATACTGGTGGTACTGCAACCCTGGCGCTGTCCCCTCCAGGACCGGCTGAGCTCCCAGCTGAGCTCCCAGCTGAGCCACGTAAGCCCAGAGCAGCCTGAGGCTTCCAGCCCCTGGGGTATCTCTGCTGCTCTCCCCTCCCTGGATCAGGGTCTCCTCCTCCTTCCCCTTTCCTGATAATTCCCAGTGCCAGATCACGTGATACAGAGTGAAACCCATGTAGAGGACACTGGGTACAGCCATCAAGATGACCTGGAAGACCCAGAAACGCAGCGGGGAGAGGGGGTGGAAGGCATCAAAGCAGGCAGCCTTGCAGCCCGGCTGCTGGGTGTGACACCCGAATTCACTCTGCTCATCGCCATAGACTCCAGGCCCACTGGCAGCCAGCATCACAAGGCAGAATCCCAGGAGAAGCAGGAGGCGCCCCCCGGGTGGGGGGCGGGGGGAGTGCCAGCTCTTCTCCGCCAGCAGCCGCCGCAGGAACCTGCTACACATCCTGTTAGGGAGCTTTAAAAAAAGGTGATTATACATTATTGATTTTTTGTTTTTAAAGACCTCTGTTGCCCCAGGCTGGAGTGCAATGGTGTGATCATAGCTCACTGCAGCTTCCAACTCTTGGGCTCAATCAATTGTCCTGTCTCAGGTTCCTGAGTAGCTGGGACTACAGGTGCATGACACCACACCCAGCTAAGTTTTAATGTTTTTATAGATACGGGGTCTTGCTATGTTTCCCAGTCTGGTCTCAAACTCCTGACTTCAAGCAATTCTCCTGCCTCGGCCTCCCAAAGTCCTGGGATTGCAGGTGTGAACCGTTGCACCAGGTTACGAGTGTTTTTTTTTTTTTTCTTGACAGAGTCTTGCTGTGTTGCCTAGGGTGTAGTAGAGTGTCACCATCTTCGCTCACTGCAACCTCTGCCTCCTGGCTTCAGGCGATTTTCCCACCTCAGCCTTCTGAGTAGCTGGGATTATAGGCGTGCGCCACCACACCTGGCTAATTTTTTGTATTTTTAGTAGAGATGGGGTTTCACCATGTTAGCCAGGCTGGTCTTGCACTCCTGACCTCAGGTGATCCACCTGCCTTGGCCTCCCAAAGTGTTGGAATTACAGGCTGGAGCCACTGCACAGGGCCATGTATTGATTTATGACTTTGCCTGTAACTTCCGCCTCTCTGCCTTTGAAAACCCTTACCTGCAAGCCACTGGGGAGTTCAGGTCTTACACTTGAGCTGGCTGATTCTCCTTGCTTGGCACTCTGCAATAAATGCCTCAGTTTCTCTCACTGGAATCCAGACATCAGTGTTTGCAGCACCCGGTGGGCGGACCCAAGTTCGATGAGGTAACAGACGTCCAATGGGGGTGCTGTCATCCCGCGGAGGTTTTCCTCCATAATAAAAGGCAGGAATTGGCCGGGCGCCGTGGCTCACGCCTGTAATCCCAGCACTTTGGGAGGCCGAGGCGGGTAGATCACCTAAGGTCAGGAGCTCAAGACCACTCTGGCCAGCATGATGAAACCCCGTCTCTACTAAAAATACAAAAAATTAGCTGGGTGTGGTGGCGGGTGCCTGTAATCCCAGCTACACGGGAGGCTGAAGCAGGAGAATCGCTTGAACCCGGGAAGTGGAAGTTGCAGTGATCCGAGATCGCGCCATTGCACTCCAGCCTGGGCAACAAGAGTGAAACTCCGTCTCAAAAAAAAAAAAAAAAAAAGAAAAGAAAAGAAAAGAAAAGAAAAAAAAAGAAGGCGGGAATTGTGAGAGTTGTGCGAGGAAGACCGGATGACCGTTATCTCGTGGCCTTTGCATCCAGGCTTTGAGCCAAATTCCCAAGGACTGGATCCTAACACTTGGCTGCAACTATTTCTTCGACCAGTAGGGGGCAGGCAAAAGCCATAGAGAATCCGGCCCAGAGCTGATTGGAATCTGCCTGAGAAAATGACCTCTTATTGTTTAAGTCGGCGGTCCCCAATCTCTTTGGCACCAGGGACCGGCTCCATGGAAGACAGTTTTTCCAGGGATTAGGGAGGGGAATGGTTTTGGGATGATTCCAGCGCATCTCGTTTATTGTGCATTTTATTTCTATTATTATTACATTGTAATATATAATGAAATAATTCTACAACTCGCCATGGTGTAGAATCAGTGGGAGCCCCGCGCTTGTTTTCCTGCGACTAGACGGTCCCATCTGGGGTTGATGGGAGACAGTGACAGATCATCAGGCGTTAGATTCTCACAAAGAGCGTGCAACCTACATCCCTCGAATGCACAGTTCCCAATAGGGTTCGTGCTCCCATGAGAATCTATTGCAGATGCTGATCTGACAGGGGGTGAGCTCAGGCTGTAATGGGAGCAATGGTGGGGTGGCTGTAAATACAGATGAAGCTTCGACCCTGCAGCTCACCTTCTGCTGTGTGGTTCAGCTCCTAACAGGCCATGAATGGGTCCCAGGGGTTGGGGACCCTGCCTCAGACTATCTTGTCTCTGCCTGGCAGATTCTCCTGGGGATAGTTCCCAGGTAGCCTGGAAGAATGATGCACACTGAATCAGGCAAAATACATCAATCAGGTATAGCCAGGTATACATATGTTAATGTCCTCTTCCATTTCTCTGAGCTTTGCTTTTTCAACCTTCTTTCCCAGTAGAATTCACTGTCCCAGCCAAGGGGTTGTTCTTGCTCATCAGAAATATTTAGTGTTTTCTATTGCCTTTGCTTATGCATTTATTGATTCATCCAGAAATTATGTATTGATTACCTATTGTATTAATATGTGTATTTATTTATTTATTTATTTTTTATTTTTTGAGATAGGATCTTGCTCTGTTGCTCAGGCTGGAGTACAATGGTACAATCATAGCTCACAGCAGGCTTGACCTCTCATGCTCAAGTGATCTTCCTGCCTCAGCTTCCCAAGTAGCTGGGTCTACAAGTGTGTGCCACCATGCCTGGATAATTTTTTATTTTTTTAAATGTAGAGCCGGGATCTTGCTACGTCGCCCAGACTGATCTGGAACTCCTGGCTCAAGCAGTCCTCCCACTTTGGCATCCCAAAGAGCTGAGATTACAGGCACGAGCCACTGTGCCCGGACTTATTGTATATTTGATTCTCTGGTAGACAATGGAGACTCAAAAGAACGTGGTATGTAAAATCCCGTTCTGTATGGAAATCTTTTGACCTCGACTTGGCAAGCTCTCTTAGGCCTCCACATCTCTCTGAAATCCGAATTGCTCCAGGAAGTTTTCCCTGGGTATCTCGGTAGCCCTGTGTTCCTCTCCTCCTGCCCCACACCTGACCAGGACTTGAATCCTGCAGCTTCTCGCTCTTCCTTCATCATCATCCATGTTTCTTGTTATAGATGAGGTCACATCTCCTATTCCAATTTTCCTTAGCCCTGGTCTGATCATGTGGATTTTGGTTTCTTCATTGATCTGAAATGTTTAACTTTCATCTTTTATTTGCTCCAAGTGTCCTCATATTTTCATATACCACATGCTGTATTTTTCCCTCTTATTTGCATTTTCTTTTTTTGAGACAGAGTCTTGCACTGTCGCCCAGGCTGGAATGCAGTGGCGAGATCTCAGCTCACTGCAACCTCCACCGCCTGAATTCACGTGATTCTCCTGCTTCAGCCTCCCGAGTAGCTGGGATTACAGGCACACATCACCAAACCTGGCTATTCTCCTGCCTCAGCCTCCCGAGTAGCTGAAATTACAGGCACACACCACCACACCCGGCTAATTTTTTGTATTTTCAGTAAAGACGGGGTTTCACTATGCTGGCCAGACTGGTCTCGATCTCCTGACCTTGTGATCCGCCCTCCTGGGCCTTCCAAAGTGCTGGGATTACAGGCGTCGGCCACCGCGCCAAGCGACTATTTGTATTTTCTTTCCTGAACTTGGCTACTGTTCAGATAGGATGTTTTAGCCCCGGAATGGGACAAGGTGGATTTTATGTAGACTTAAAAAAAAAAAAAAGTAATTTCTCGGCTTTGATTTTCAAATTGGAGTCGAAGTGTTAAAACAAAAAATTGTAGCCTTCAAATTTAGGCTTTCATGAAAGATAAGATGATTAACTCAGAATCATCCTAAGGCTGGGAAGGCTGGGAATGACTCCTCTTTGGAACCCAACTTGGAAGATGGGGTTTGGAATAATCCGGAGTGGGAGGCTGAGTATAGAATATAAAGAAAGTTCTTGTCACTAGATGCAGTGGCTCACGCCTGTAATGCCAGCACTTTGGGGGGCCGAGGCAGGCAGATCACTTGAGGTCAGGAGTTCAAGACCAGCCTGGCCAACATGGTGAAACCCCGTCTCTACTGAAAATATAAAAATTAGCCGGGTGTAGTGGCTGATGCCTGTAATCCCAGCAATTTGGGAGGCTGAGGCAGAAGAATCGCTGGAACCTGGGAGGTGGAGTTTGCAGTGAGCTGAGATCGCGACACTGCAGTCCAGCCTGGGCAACAGAGCAAGACTCCATCTCAAAAAAAAAAAGAGAGAGAAAAAAAAAGAAAGTTTTTGTCCCACAGGAAGGAAAAGCACAGACACAGACAGGTGAGACTTCATGAGAAAGTCGAGGTGAGAGCTCTCCTGTGTGTTTGGGGTTGATAACTGTGTGTGGCGGTTGGTGACTCATCTGAGGACACTCACTCTCAGGGACTCAGACGGAGTCTGAGAACCTCAGGGCCAATTCCTGCTTCATTGAGCTGTATCCTGGAGAGCTGAGGGCTTTCAAATAAGCTTTGGCTGGTGGGCCAAGGCCAACATGGTGTGGAGATGTGGAGCAGCTGGAGTGGAGGGCCGGGTCTCCCAGAGAGCCAAGGAGTGTGGGGAAACTGAGGCACAGAAGAGGCTTGGGTTTGTGTGAAAGAACTTGCAGGGTTCTAGCACCTCACAGCCAGAGTGGCCATGGCCATGCCTGTGGATGTCAGCAGGGGACACCTGAACAATCCCTAAGGGACAGCGGGTCCGGGCCATGGTTGGAATTGCCCAAGTCAGAGTGTCAGGAACCACGACCTCCAGGGGAAACCAAGAGTTTCAGATGAATCCAGTGCTTGGGAGCAGGACTAGTGAGAAAATCAAGTCACATTTCTACAGGATTTTACAGTTAATACTGTTCTCTGTCATGCTAGACAAAGATAGATGATTATTTATTAGCTTCTATAGATTAGACAATGGCAGGCGGTGGTTCGAGGCGAGATGGTTTTTGGGTCCGAGTCGGCTCAGGGCAGGGATCCCAGTCTTTGGTCTCCAAATCCACCTCCTGTCTGTCTCCCCACACTGTTCCCTGGGCCTTGAGGATCCATTGACGGTGATTTCTGTGGTTCAGCTCCCATGTCAGGCAGGAAGGGCAGCTACTAGGGCTGAGATCCCATATTGCCTCCAGCCCTTGCTTCCTACCTGGCCTCCCCGGACCCCACCAGGGGCTGGCCCAGGCTGCTGTGCTGCACATGGCAGGAGTAGGGGGCTGTGTCCTACCGGGCCGTACACACCAACAACCAGGTCAG